CGAAGCCTCTGCCATCAAATTTGTTATTGTGAAAAAGTGTGGGTTTTGGGAGGGTGATCGATGGAAATGGAATTTGAGCGAACAATTTTTGGAGCCGACTGATCTTTTAGTGCAAGAACTGGACAACATGCTATTGCAGCTCGATGATATGTCACCAATCCGTGACTGTGAAGATTCTATAAGCTGGTCCGCGGGTAATTGCAATAATTTTACTGCCAATGTCTGTTACTCCACTTTAGCAGGTGTTGAAACTTCCCTGCCATTGGATCAAATGAAATTATTAGCTTCGAGTCTTTTGTGGGGAACCAATACTCTATTAAAGATTAATATTTTTGGATGGAGACTTATCTTAAATCGATTATCGACGCGTTCAAACTTGGAGACTAAAGGTGTAATATATAATGAGCACGATAAGGTATGTGTTCTTTGTTTTCGCGCTGATGAAAATCTAGATCATTTATTCCTTACATCTCCAAAAACTAAATTGGTGTGGCAAGAAGTGGAGAATTGGTTGGGGTGTGATGTTTCCATAGGTAGGAATTCTGTCGAGCACTTGTTGGAATCATTTGAAGATTATCTATCAAAATAGTCTGCACTCTTAGTATAATTAGCTACTTGTTGGAATCTTTCGTGGTATAGGAATCAAGTAATTTTCAATGATGGTTTCTTTGTCCCTAAAGAGATTTTCTTTAGAATCACTCATATGTCTTGGTGGTGGTTGGGCACATGTTATAGGAACAACACGGATTCAACAATTACAAAATGGTTGAATCGAGGTCTGTCATGGAAGAATTCAATGAACTCCTCCAAATACTTGGACAGTTCACACAACACGGATTAAAGATGGATGAAACAATATCTTTCTCAAGCATCATAGACAAGTTGCCTCCTTCGTGGAAGGATTTCAAACACAATTTGAAGCATGGAAAAGACGAATTGTCTTTGATCCAACTTGGAAGTCACTTGCGCATAGAAGAATCTCTAAGAGCGCAGGAGGGTGACAAAGGAAAAGGCAAAGAAATTGTTGGACCCTCGGTTAATATGATCGAAGAGCTTGGTAAGAACGATAACAACAAAAACAAAGGAAAGAAGCGTGCTTTCAAGAACAAAAAAGGCAGTTTCGGTGCTAACAAGAAATCGAAACTAGAATGTTGGAAGTGTGGCAAAACATGCCACTTCAAGAAGGATTGTCGTTCCGGAAAAAGGCACGATAACGCAAATGCAAGTGGTTCAGGAAAGGGGTCTAAGGACCAATCCGAAAACCAAGGTCAGAAATTAATTCGTGATTTGAATAGTTTGATTAAACATTCAGTTTCACTAAATTCTGAAGCATTTTATGTGCAGGATGATGCTATCGCATGGTGGATTGACTCTGGTGCCACAACACATGTTTGCAAGGATCGTTTTTGGTTCAAGACTTTTGTTCCAATGGAAGATGGTTCTAAACTCTACATGGGAGATGATCACTTCGCTCCCGTTGAAGGCAAAGGAAACGTGGTGCTAGAATTCAGTTCTGGAAAGACTATTACTTTGTTTAATGTTTTGTATGTTCCTAAACTACGTACGAATTTAATTTCTGGTCCTGTATTAAATAAGCTTGGATACAAGCAAGTGTGTGAATCTGATAAATATGTATTATCGAAGTCTGGTGTGTTTGTAGGATTTGGAAATTATAATAATGGTATGTTTATGATGAATTTGAATGGAGTTCCTAATAATTATGGTTCTGTATTTATGTCCTCTTCGAATATTATCAATTCATCGTTATGGCATGCTCGTCTAGTACATGTACATTATAAAAGAATGCATGAAATGTCTAAAGATAATTTAATTCCTGTTTTTAATGAAAATGTAGAAAAGTGTAAAACTTGCATGTTAACAAAGATAACTAGGCAACCTTTTAAAGGTATAACAAGGAAATCTATACATAGTGATTTATGTGATTTGCATGCTACTCCATCATTAGGGCATAAAAAGTATTTTGTCACTTTCATAGATGATGCATCTAGATTCTGCTATGTTTATTTGTTGCACGCTAAGGACGAAGCCTTAGATAAATTCAAAATTTATAAAACTGAAGTTGAAGTGCAACAAAATGTGTTGATTAAAACATTACGTACAGATAGAGGTGGTGAATATTATGATCCTGTATTTTTCTAATCCGTAGGAATCATTCATGAGACTACGACACCTTATACACCTCAACAAAATGGTGTGGCTGAAAGAAAAAATAGAGTTCTTAAAGAAATAGTGAATGCCATGTTATCTTACTCTGGTTTGAGTGAAGGGTTTTGGGGAGAAGCTATGTTAACGGCTTGTTATTTGTTAAATAGGGTTCCTAATAAAAGGAACAAAACTACCCCATATGAACTTTGGTATAAGAAATGACCCAACTTAACATTTCTACGTGTTTGGGGCTGTAGGGCCGTGGTTAGACTCCCGGACCCAAAAAGGAAAACTTTGGGTGAAAAGGGTGTAGCTTGCATCTTTGTTGGATATGCTGAGCACTCCAAGGCCTATAGGTTTTATGTTATAGAACCTAATGACTCGATTTCTATTAACACGAGTATAGAATCAAGAGATGCCATATTTGATGAGAATTGTTTCTCTTATATACCTAGACCAAAGGACTCTATACCTAATTCAGATGAATCTCTAAGGGATGATCATTCAAATGATGTGCCAAGTGAGACAGTTGAACCCCGTAGGAGCAAAAGAGCCAGAAAATCTAGATCTTATGGATCTTATTTTCAACTATATCTAGTTGAGGGATCAAAGGATCAGATTGATGCTCAATATTATTATTGCTATAGTATAGAGGAAGATCCAAGAACGTATGATGAAGCTGCGAAATCTCGAGATTCTATTTTTTTGGAAAGAAGCAATTGATGAAGAGATTGGTTCTATCATGGAAAATAATACTTGGGTATTATCTGATTTACCACCAGGCTGCAAACCATTGGGTTGCAAATGGATCTTCAAAAAGAAGATGAAAGTCGATGGTACAATTGACAAGTTTAAAGCTAGATTAGTTATCCAAGGCTTCAGACAAAAGGAAGGGATTGACTATTTCGATACCTATGCTCCAGTTGCCCGTATCACTACTATTAGATTGTTGATTGCCTTGGCGGCTATTCATAATCTAGTGATTCATCAAATGGATGTCAAAACAGCATTTCTGAATGGTGATTTGGAAGAAGAAGTGTATATGAAGCAACCTGAAGGATTTGTAATGCCTGGTAATGAGCATAAAGTTTGTAAGCTAGTTAAGTCATTGTATGGGCTGAAACAAGCTCCGAAACAGTGGCATCAAAAGTTTGATGAGGTTGTTTTGTCTAATGGTTTCATTCTAAATCAAGCTGACAAATGTGTATATAGCAAATGTGATACACCCGAAAAAGGAGTTTTCATTTGTCTATATGTTGATGACATGTTGATCTTTGGCACCGACCAAAATCAAATTGATAAAACGAATAATTTCTTGTCATCAAAGTTCTCCATGAAGGATATGGGAGAAGCGGGCGTTATTCTTGGTATCAAGATTAAACGGGAGAATAAGGGGATTGTAATTACGCAATCTCATTACATTGAGAAAATACTCAAGAAGTTCAATTATGAAAGTTGTTCTCTAGTAAGTACTCCCATGGATCCGGGAGAAAAGCTTATGCCAAATACAGGTAAACCTGTGGATCAACTCGAATATTCAAGAGCTATCGGCTCTTTGATGTATGCTATGATTAGCACTAGATCGGATATTGCTTATGCGGTTGGAAAGTTGAGCAGATTTACTAGTAATCCTAGTAGACATAATTGGCATGCGATAACTAGGGTATTCAAGTACTTGAAGGGTACTATGAATTATGGATTGTCATATATAGGATTTCCTTCAGTGTTAGAGGGTTATTCGGATGCTAGTTGGATAAATAATGATGAAAATTCATCCTCTACAAGTGGATGGGCGTTCTTGCTTGAGGGAGGCGCCATCTCATGGGCTTCTAAGAAGCAAACGTGTATAACAGGTTCCACAATGGAATCTGAGTTTGTAGCATTAGCTGCTGCTGGTAAAGAAGCAGAATGACTAAGGAACTTGAATATAATTTTAATTATAAAAAAAAAATTAAATAACTTTCCACTAACCGCATTACTTCATTATATTTCTTTTTCATTCTTATACAAATTAATTAAATAATACTCTATCCACTAAACCATACACTACATTACTCCTATATCAAGATACACATTAGTTAAATAATAAATAATAATAACTTCCAATTAATCCCACTACTTCATTGCCTAAAAATAAATCACCAAAACCTCTATTTAATAACCTTATCTACACCACAAACCAACAACACTTTTTACTTTTGTTATTGTTGACAAATAATCAGAATAAAATCTCTCTGTGTTATCTTTTTCTCCATGTTATCTTTTTCTCCATATATATTAATCTCTGTCACTCTTTTTCTTTTATCTATTTGTGAGGTTGGTTTATTTGCTTTTGGAATATAGTGTTAATTCAATTTCAATTGGTTCATTAAATAGTTTTGCTCATAATTTCTATTTTATGGGATCAAATTCCAAATAATAATATATTTTTTATAAACAAATATCATATGTTTTTTTTTGCATTTACTTAGTAAAAAGTATCTCATAATATAATTTTTCTTACATCAGTGTTTATTTGTATATTTACATTAAATTGATTTGTTTTAAAGGCTTTTCTAACATATGCTATAATACTTCAAGAATCAATTTAAGTTTCAAAAAATAGCAAGACCATTTAATGAAATTAATAATATCAATAATAAGAAATATGTGTGAAAACTAGCAATTCATAAGAAAAACATTTAGATTCATGTATTTTGTTTTTCATATTAAGACCACATTTATATTTGTTGTTTATATCTAATGATGGTTTGTATAATTCTATCAACTATATTTGAATCTATATCAGTGTGATTGAACACTTTATTATTTCTTGAGGACAAAAAGCACATTGTTTATGAGTTGCAATCTACCTCATAGCTTAAAAGCTTAGATGTCCAGTGAGCGATTTTCCCTACAATCCTGTTTATAAGAGGCCTACAATTCAGCACAGATATTTTCCTACTATCCAAAGGGACTCCTAAGTATTTAAAAGGAAGATCACCTTTAGAAAAACCTGTGTTCTGCATAATGTCATCCTGGGTTGTTTGGTGAACTCCCCCAAAATACAATTTGCACTTGGCAGAATGAGCCTTTAAACCAGTTGCCTCTGAGAACTGCTTGAACTCTTCCATCAGAATATTCACAGAAGTAGAATCCCCTCTAGAGAACAGTATAAGGTTATCAGCAAAAGATATGTTGATTAAATTAAGCTTTTCACACTTAGGGTGAAAGTTGAAATCAGGTTTATTCTTCAATTTCCCTAAGCATCTGTTGAGATACTCCATAACTAGCACAAAGAGAAGAAGGGAGATATGATCTCCTTATCTGAGACCTCTCCTTGCCTTCAGCAGATTAGAATACTTGCCATTTATGCAATATCTATAAGACACATAAGACACACTTAGCATAGTCCAGTTAATAAATTTTCTAGGAAAATTCAACTCTTGCATGATATCCTCCAAGGCCTTCCATTCTAAAGTGTCATATGCTTTATGAATTTCCATTTGGATTGTCCATCTAGGGGAGATATGCTTCATGTTGTACCCTCTAATAAGCTCATGGGCCATGATAATGTTGTCTTCAATAACTTTACCAGGTAGGAAAGCAGACTGGCTATCAGCCACTACTGAATTTATGACTCTGCTGAGCCTATTGGTAAGAACTTTGGAGATGACTTTATAAACCGTAGAACAACATGATATAGGCCTTAGATATTTCATTCTTTTAGCCTCTACAGACTTAGGAACTAAAGTGACAATAGCACAATTAATAGCAGTATACATATAATTTTCCTCAAAGAATTCCATCACAACAGCAGTAAAATCATCTTTGATGATACTCCAAGTGGCTTTAAAGAACTTTGAAGTGAAACCATCCAATCCAGGGGCTTTTGTATCCCCTATAGAGTTAAGATCTTGCCAAATCTCTTTTTCAATGACTTGTTGAGTAAGTTGATCACCTTGGTTCATATCCAACTGAGCTCCTCTTCTCAAGACCTCTATATCCACATGTTGCAGAATTTGAGAGTTAGTACCAACCAGTTCTTGATAGAACTGAGTAACCTCCTTTTCAAGAACTAGTATATTTGTTTCTCTCCTTAACAATAGCATGAAAATATGCATTCTTACCATCCCCAATTTCAGCCAGGTTACTTTAGATTTCTGCATCAAGATTTTCTCTTCAGTTTCAGTACTATTGAGGATTTCCTCAGTCCACTTTTTAGCTTCTTGATTAGTTCAGAGTTGAACATATCCTCATTAAGCTGTTGTTGCACCTGATTCAGATTGTCTCTATACTCCTGAATATTTTGAGCCCTTCTACTAATTCTTTTACTCATACCTCTCAGAATAGGCTGAAGTCTTTTCAGCTTTATCCACAATCTCTTCATAGGTCTTCCATCCATATCCTTATTCCAATCATCTCTAACCACCTCCAGAAAATCAGCTTCATCAACAAGAGCATTGATGAATTTAAATCTAGGTTGGGCATCTTTTCTTCTCATTTCTTCTCATCCAATTGTCTCCTTTAGTCAGCTTAAGGGGGGAGTGATCAGAGATGTGAGTGGGAAGAATATCAACATCATTGTTAGGATACTTCAAGTGCCATTCCCTGTTGCAGATGATCCTGTCAATCCTAGAGTATATAGTTCCAGTAGTGTGTTTATTCGACCAAGTGTGATGTCTTCCACGAGTGTTATGTTCAAACAGCCCAGAGTTCTGCATCATCCTCTCCAAGTCCTGGTACTCCACCTTCTGAACAGGCATCCCCCTCTTCAGTTTTTTCCATGACTCTAATGTCAACTTCTTCATGGTTCCACATGATCCAAATTCTGCCATTAGTGTGCTTATCATAATTATCATGCCACTTTCAATTTGTACTAAAGATTCTTATGATTTTGTTAGAATTATGCTCTTTCACTCTAGTTTCCAATAGAGCTATACAAGACACCTTCATTTTCCTGAGATGGGCCCCAATCTCAATGTGCCTAGCCTTTTTATTTAGGCCTTTCACATTCCAAGTAACAATCATGGCATCTTATCTTCAAGGTGTGGCACACTCCCTCCCTACTTTTGTCCAGTTTCTCTGCTCAGTCTTTTCTTCAGCATGTATTTCTTCTTTTGGTTGTTTTACTGATTCATACTTTTCTTCCTTCTTTTCTTCAAATGATTTTTGTCCCTCTGGTTTCTGTTTCACTGTCCAGGCTTGCTTGTTTGGAGCTTTCATCTTTGGTTTGTTCTCACAATCATGTCCCACTCTATTGCATTTTTTACAAAAGGATGGTTTCAATTCATATTCCAATTTTTGGATAATTTTCTTACCTCTAGGATTCCTTATAACTATTTCTTCTTTCAACTCAATGGAAACATCTACTTCCACTAAGATCTTAGCATATGATACTCGTAGTTTCTTTGTCGTACATTCATTAGTCATCAAAAGGTTTCCAATAGCACTGGTTATCTTTCCTATGCTTCTTTCCCCCAGTACACTAATGGTATTTGAGGTAAAACAATCCATAAGGGGGTCACTCTCATAATGTCCTCTTTCATTGAGAAATTTGGTCTCTCCTCATGAAGAAACATTGGCTTCCTAAATATGGTATAATGCATCTTCCTTAAGACTTCATCTTTATCAGATTGCGATCGGAAGCGTATAATGAAGTAACCCTCTTCCTTAAGACTTCTTCCGTTACTTCCTCTATGACCTCAAGAGTTGTTTCTTGATCTTTCTTAGGTGTGCCATTATCTTCATACTCTTTTCCCTTTTGAGTCTCCTCTTCCTGGTTGCGAGTACTTGTCTCTACCATATTGTTTGAGTGACGTGAGAACACTCTCACCTTCACTGGAGGTGTGGTGATTGCCTGTTTCTTCGATCGTCTCCTTCCTCTCCCTATACCTAGTTCCACCTTAAAACAATGCTCAATCCTCTCTACGACGGTCCCTAATCTGAATATTAAGAGTTTAAACCCACATAGAAGAAGATTATTGCACGCTTCTCACTAAACTTGAACCCTAATTTCTTCAAAATTTTCAATGTAATCGTTGGCCTGCGCTGATGGCACATTATAAATACTTTCTTTCACTAAAGGGTCAGGTATTATATTCATCACACATTCTTTTTGTACTTGCTCTCTCTAATTCTGGTACTTACTTAAGAATCAGAGCATCTTGCAAGTACACCCTCTTACTCCTCCACAATACCGATGAAGGCAGCAACTCACGACGCGTGGTAGGCTACTGATTCCTTTCTGATCAGGTAAAATCAGTCACAAAATATCAACCGCTAATTCGGTGGCTATTTTTACTTTGTGACCGATTTAGTAACTTTTAAAATTTGCTAATATGATGTTTAGTTTTGACAGCTAATTCGGTCACTAGAGTGATTAAAAATTTTCAGTCACTAATTTGGTCACTAAAAGCGAAGTTTCTTGTAGTGTCATTGCTCTAAATTCTGCTTCAGCACTCAATCTAAATACAACACTTTGTTTTTTACTCTTCCAAGTCACAAGATTCCTACCTAGAAAAGTACAATATCATGTAGTTGATCTTCTACCCACAACTGATCCTACATAGTCAGCATCACTATATTCTTCAAGACTCACACTTCCATTTCGTTCAAACAAAATTCCTCTACCTGGAGTTCCTTTTAAATATTGCATAATTTGAATAACAACTTGTAAATGAATCTCCTCTGGTTGGTGCATGAATTGGATGACTAAGCTTACAGAAAAAAGCAACATTTGGTATAGTATGTGATAGGTATATAAGTTTTCTGACTAATCTTTGATACATTCTCTTATGTGTTCCCCAACTTTACACTTGGATCAATTGGTGTACTTGCAAGCCTGCATGTCGTTTTACCCGTCTCTTGTAGAAGATCAGTAATGTACTTTTATTGAAATATGAAGATTCCTTTCTTAGTGTGGGCAACTTCAATTCCCATAAAATACTTCAATTTTCCCAAGGTCTTAATCTCAAACTCCTTAGCTAAGTGTTCGCCTAACAATTGTTGCTCATTCTCATTGTCACCTGTTATTATAATGTCATCCACATACACTAATAAAATTGTTACTCTCCCTGTCTCAAAATGTTTGATAAATAGAGTATGATCTCATTGACTTTGTTTAAAGCCCAAACCTATCATAACATTTGTGAATATTCTAAACCATGCTCGTGGTGATTGTTTTAGCTTATATAAAGCCTTTTTTAAACTGCACACAATGTTGGTGGTAGTAAGTTCACAATATCTAGGGGTACATTCATGTAATGCCGGATTGGATTCTTGGATATAGGGTAGTTGGATATAGGGTAAAGTGGCTTTTTAGTACATTTTATGGTATCTTTTCTTAGGGCAGTTAAAAGATATAAATCCTTGTAGTGAGGTGGTAGTACTTAGTTGGATTCTGTTTCTTGTTCATGAGAAATTCAAAAATTGAATCACTAGTGCTTGAATGGTTGAGAGAAGTTACAACATGTAATGTCAGATTGGATTCTTGGATATGAGTAGATTCAAGAATGTTATTCTTTATTGTATATGCTAAATTCTTTCCAAATCTTACATCAGTTCCAACATTTCCATTTTTTTCCAGAATCAAGTTCAATCTCAATATTGTCACCACTAGTTTCAGTCTCAACTTCCGGTTCAAAAGTAAGGTCAGGAACTAGAGAAGACTCGTCTTCCTTACTTATATTCTCCCCTTGAAGATGATTTTTAAGGAAGTAACTTTCTTGTTCGTGGAAGGTGACATCTCAAGAGACAAAGTATTTATGAGATGGTGAATGATAATATTTGTAACCCTTTTGGGTAGAAAACTGTCCTATAAATACACATTTCAACGTTCTAGGATCAAGTTTCTCTCTACTGTCACTATGAATATGGACAAACGACGTACACCCAAATATTCTAGAGGTCAGATTACTGGAAGTAGGCACGTCAAGATAGAGTGAGGATAAGACTTCCATGGAGTTTTGCATGCAAGGACAATAGAGGGTAAGCGATTAATTAGATACGATGCAGTTAAGACATCCCCACCTCAATGTTTCTTAGGGACTTTATTTTGGAATATCATAGCGCGTGTTTGGTCTAACAAGTGCCCATTCTTTCTCTCAGCAATCCCAATTTGTTGTGGGGTTTTAACACAAGAAGACTAATGAATAATACCTTCTTTTTGACAAAAAGAATTAAGACCATGATTAAAGTAATCCTTGGCATTATCAGGTCTAATTCTCTTAATACTCATACCAAACTAATTTTTAACCATATAGAAGAAGTGAAGAAACACAAAACA